GGGAGAAGCTTAGCTGCCTGTTCCTTGGCTGTATGTTCCAGCACCAGGGAGCTGGGGGTGCAGAAGCTGGGACAGTCACAACTTGACTGAAGCATCCCTCCCCAGTGCTTCCACAATCTCTTGCTCTCTTGGGTTTAAATGGAAATTCTAGTTTCAGAGGCTAGTGGCTCGCTTATCAGTCCAGCTTTGAGAAGTACCATAACAAAAACAACAACAACAACAACACCAAGCCAGTCTGTGTGGAGGGTTTTGAACAAGGCTGCCACTGTGCAGAGCACTTTCCAAGGGGATCTGATTTCTCCTCTAACTAGGAACTCTGAGAGGTAGGTTTTATGTAGCCTGTTATGGGGTGGACCCCTTCACTGTGTGAAGCCAAGAGCTCCCTGATGGAACCTGACCAGAGGAGAGCCTACCTTTCAGGTGGAACGTTATCCGTGTTGCTGCTGTGGCGTCTCTGCATTTTCCTGAACACCTGAAAGTCAACACAAGGTGTGAGCCACTTTCCAATCACTCCAGATGCCTGCCAGGTTGCTACCGTCATCGGATGTAAGAAATTATCATGCCTTGTATTCCTAGGGCTCATGGGCATTCTCAAAACCACCTTTTGGTCTCTTTGCCATTCACCCCCCCAATTCAACATTCAGTCCTCCGAGGAATGGGTCACCAACCCATGTAATAGATCAGGATGATGAGACCCATGGGGGTGCCTGAAGGAAGGGTGAAGGGAGAAAGGAGTCGACTGTGCAGCACTTAGCAGACATAGTTTTGGATTGCCCTGAACTTGCTGTGTGACCCTGGACCAATCAGCCTCTTTGAGCCCTCAAAGCCCTCAAATGCTCCATCTGTTAAGCATTCAAGAGTGGAGTGGCTGACCTCAAAGTTTCCTGCCCTCCTCACATTTAATACATCAGATTCGGAGATGTGGGTTGTAATGGAGACACATCACCTGGTTCACTGTGAGGAGCCACATGGACTTCAGAACTCCATGTTGACAGTCCCTTGGGTAGGCATTGAAGGCTCCTGATGGGAGGTAATCCCAGGATCCTAGAGAGAGCAGACCTCCCCTCTCCTCCTTTCCACGGCAACACACAGGTCAGGGGAGCTTGCAAAACCCTGGATAGGACAGAACACCTGTGTGAACAAGTCCATGGGGACACCTGGTCCAACAATAAGACCTGGAACTTCATGAGTGGCTTCAAGCAGGTGATCTCTTCTGCTGACTCCCTCTCCTTCATGACTCTTTGGCCCCTCCGTGGGGCTCTTGAAAACAGTTACAATCTATGAAAACAGTTATATTTTGTCTTTTGTCAAACCAACTGAGGAGTATACCTGTTAGATCCTCCAATGGCTTTTCATTTTGATAAGAATAAAATTAAAGCTCAGATTAAAACCCATGACTACAGGTTGTGGCTGATGTGGCCTCACCTGTTTCCATCCAGCCTCAGGTCTCCCCCCACTCTCCCTCTTCCCCCAAGTCTCTCTGGCTACGCTGACATTTCTGTACCTCAGACACGAAAGCTTGTCCTTTTCTTTGAATGTTATGTAGCTAGCTGCTAGGGTCAAAGGTCACTTCCTCCCAGTGCCCTTTCACCTCACGACCCCTCAAAAAAGTCCTGCTCTGTTATTTATTGACACACTTGCTGGTCTCTAAGCAGCCTCTTTCATTGCTCTATCAATGGCATTTAGAACAACCAGGCACAGAATAGCACTCAGCAAGGATTTATTCAATGAATACATCTGCGACTTTCCCAGTTACCTTCCTTGCAAGTCCTATTCCCTCCTCCCCCTCCCTTAGTACTTTTCATCTTAGGGAAGAAAAACAAAAAGCCATCTGTTTTCCAGGTATAGGTTTGGTTTCCTTGAATAGATTTTTACCAGAACAAAATGATGGTAGCTGGGCACCCTGAGAAAACAAAACGAAACAAAAACGTTGTCATCGTCTCGGACTCACAGCGACACTTATAAAGAGCAACCATTATGGGAGCTGACTGCCACACCTTTCTCCCCCCAGCAGCTCCTGGGTTCCAGGTTCCAGGTGGCCATCGGTCTAGTTAGATAGGCAGCAGAGAGGTTAGCCAAAAACGCGCCACAGCGCTGAGCACCGCTGCTGATTGCTTTCTGGCTTCCAAATCCTTCCCCGCTTTCTGCTGGAAGCAGTGCCAGGTAAGCCTCTCTTTTGGACAATGAGGGGGAGAGCTGGGTCATTACATACACATGTTCCAAAAGCTTGGACATCTCAATCCAATACCCCCCTGGTCCTTCATACCTTCCCATCCTTTCCTCACACAGAGGTTCCAGGTTGTATCCACAAAACCGTCTACGCTTCTACTTTCAGATATCCGCTTTCAAAGGGACTTTTGATTCTCTGTTGGAAGCATGCTGTCTGTACACGATTATTCCCATAGCAGATGGTGGGATATTTATTTAGGTTTTTTGCACGTGGGACCCATTTGAATCACTAAGTGACACGTCCTTTAACCCTTTGTTCCACACACCGCCCCTCATCTCTACGAAGGGTATTACATCCGAACTTTTTTGTGCCTGCGAGGTAGGGCATCCCCGGGCCATTACAAGACTGCACTTAAACACCTGCAAGGGAATGTCTCCTGCATTATTTGCATTGGAAGCAGGCAGGTGCAGGACGGATACGATGTCGCGGCCGTTTACCATGCCTGCTCTCAATGGACAGCACAGAACACTCTAGAACCGCAAGGGCAGGAGATTACTACATGGATCGTGCGGGGGGGAAAAAAGAAATCCCAAACCCCAAACCGGTTTTCGGTTTACCTGCCCAGACAATTCAGCAATCACAGCAGCATCCTTCTTTTCTGGTCAAGCCAATCACGAGCGCGCCGAAGCACGTGACTTCCGAGCGCTTCCGGCCCGGCGTCCGGGCCGGGGCCTGAGGTAGAATACCCGTACAGCTACTCAGGCAGCACGCATATACTGCCCGCCCTCTTCCCCAGGTTACAACCAATAAGAGACCGTTATTCTGTGGGAACCAATAGCGAAGAGGTTGAGTGGAGCCGGCGCGTGACGTAAGGGAGGGGAGGCGGGGCGGGGCGCGCGGTCACGTGGCGGGAGAAGCTTAGCTGCCTGTTCCTTGGCTGTATGTTCCAGCACCAGGGAGCTGGGGGTGCAGAAGCTGGGACAGTCACAACTTGACTGAAGCATCCCTCCCCAGTGCTTCCACAATCTCTTGCTCTCTTGGGTTTAAATGGAAATTCTAGTTTCAGAGGCTAGTGGCTCGCTTATCAGTCCAGCTTTGAGAAGTACCATAACAAAAACAACAACAACAACAACACCAAGCCAGTCTGTGTGGAGGGTTTTGAACAAGGCTGCCACTGTGCAGAGCACTTTCCAAGGGGATCTGATTTCTCCTCTAACTAGGAACTCTGAGAGGTAGGTTTTATGTAGCCTGTTATGGGGTGGACCCCTTCACTGTGTGAAGCCAAGAGCTCCCTGATGGAACCTGACCAGAGGAGAGCCTACCTTTCAGGTGGAACGTTATCCGTGTTGCTGCTGTGGCGTCTCTGCATTTTCCTGAACACCTGAAAGTCAACACAAGGTGTGAGCCACTTTCCAATCACTCCAGATGCCTGCCAGGTTGCTACCGTCATCGGATGTAAGAAATTATCATGCCTTGTATTCCTAGGGCTCATGGGCATTCTCAAAACCACCTTTTGGTCTCTTTGCCATTCACCCCCCCAATTCAA